GACCCAGTGACCATACTTATTTAAAGTGCACAGAGGCTGCTATATTGGTAAATCCATGCAAGAGTGCTCTTGTCTAGGTTCTTTTTATTTTCCTCATCAGCAGCTCCATAAAAGCCGTATGTGTAACTTCAGTGGTAACTTCCACAGATAGCTCGTTCTGTTTTACACATTGAAATGTTGCACACATGATACAGATGTTTGTCATTGGGGCCTGGAAGTTAAGTTAATTTAGAAGGTCTAATCCTAGCTCTCCTGCAGAAGATGTTTATGGTCATCTGAGCCTACTGTCATCTATAGCACCCCTCTCACAGGATCAGAAAGAAGCATCAAACAGTGGGAGTTTGTCAGTGACTTGCACAACATTTACTGAAACTTATGTGGGACACTGAATTTAAAAAACAAAACAGAAAAAACAGCATAGATTTTGCTTTGTTTTCCCCTCCAGTCATTAGAGATTTGATAAAAGGATATATAAGATGGGATTTATCTTTGGTAGATCCAGACAATTTTTAGATACAAGATCCTGGCTCTTCTAAAAGAATGTTCTTGGATTGTTCTGCACACTACCTTAAAAAACCCTTCTGATATTTCTGTATGCTGTCAGCATCAAAATGCTATGCTTTAATATTGCAGGAGAAATCCTGCTTAACTCAATTCTGATGAATGGGGAAAAGCTGAAAACACTTAATGTTTATAGTAGGCTGTGACTTTGTTAAAGGAGCAGTAGTTTCTTCCTATTATGGGAAATCATAGATTGCATTTACCCAGAGGTATGGGTCTATAATGTAAACATTGAGAGCTTCACTATGAGCACAGTGTAATATGTATGCACAGCCGTAAGGGGATAAAACCGTGTGAACATTGAAGGAGTGCAGTATGTACTGAGTAGGCTGTAGCAGCTGCTTTATTAATTGTACAATAGAATGTTAATTTGCATTTTGCTAATTGGCATGTAAACATGGTGGTCTTCTCATATCTGTGAACAAAGAATTTACTGGTACAGTACTCTAATAAGGTATCCAGATTTTTCTCCTAGAAATTGTTGCATTAATTTATGAAAATTAAAGTGAGAAAATATGGTATTTCGTTCACATAGAAGCACTGTTTTCCCCTCCAAAAAAAATCAGCCACCCAAAATTGGGACACCCATATTAAGCAGAGAAGCTGAGTTTCCTGAATGGGTTAGAAGAACCCTTCTTTGATTCCTGCCCTAGGGTACAGCAGCTGTTGCATTACTATTCAGGCAGATGCAGGATTCAGTTGTCTTAATGCTTCCTTCTTCACACTGCAGATGTTAATACATAATTCTCCCTCACTTAATGGTCACAGGTGTTAACGGTTCCCTTGCCCCTCCCCTTCTCCCAATGAGACTACCCTTTCTTGGAGCCATTTAGTTGTCTGTAGCTGTTCCTGGTCTCTCTTCTCTTTTACAACCTTGGAGACTTCAACTTTTTTCAGGATTATAGATCCACTCATGAAGACCAGCTTTCAGCAGCAGCTAGGGTTCTAGCTTTAATTAAGCAGAAAAAGGAGACAAGTCAGCTGAGGATTAGGGTTTGTCCATAACTGGGAGAAAAATATTTCTTCATTTTGTCTTTCAAAAATAAGGTGTATATTTATATTCTGGTGCACACTGTACATGAGAATATGGTAAATGTTGTCCTTGTTTAGTAACTCACAAAATGCAGTTGCAGTGAGTTGCACACTCATTAGTGTGAATTAGTTAGGTTTTAATGCAGTGTTTTGAATTTTTAATACTTTGAATTTTAAATACAGTAAAAATATCCATCTAAATTGAAGGTCATGGTTAGGTTTGATGCATGGGTGGTCAGGAATGGTTACCTAGTGGATGGGCAAAATCAAGAAGCTGGGTTCCCAGGGAGCCAGGAGTCAGAATCAGCTAGAATTAGGAACCAAAACCAGAGTCAATATATGCTATGGGTCAAATCAGGAGCCAAGAGTTGAAATCAGAAATCTGAGAAAGCAAGAAAGCCCATGGAGGTTAGGAGCAAGTACTTCTGCTTTTGCCCAGACAGTACTGCAGGCTGCGCCTAGTTTTTACAGGGCTAAAGCTGGTGGAACCTTTAAACTCTTTTCAAAAGCAGTTCAGCTTTAGGGGATGAACTGCCCTGATCCTCTGACTAGGATTGGTTGGGCCCAGGCCTCTAATCTGACTTCATTAGTTATCCTTGACAGTACTGAAAAATTGCCAGTTACCCTGGATTTGCATCGAGTTTCCTTTTCATACAACTATAAAATTATAACTACTGTATTATTCTCCAGAGTTGTCTTAGTGATTTTAAGTAGTGATTTTCAGCATAGGAATCTTTTCAGTGACCGAGAATTTTATTGTTCTGGATTTTAAATGCATGGCACTTCTTAAATAGCCTACAAGTATTTTAAAAGATAGTTGCTTATCTGTTTGTAGTAATGACTGAAGCACATCTTATCTGAGTCTTGCAGTACTCATTGCACAGTTAGTTTCTCCCTTTATACTATTTGCCTATAGGTTTACTTTCAATGCTATAGAAGAGGTACATGTTCCAAAATCATGTTTGACTGGTATCAGCCAAGTCCTCACATGGCAGTTGGACAGGTATGTAAACTTCTGGCTTCCTCACCAGTCTTCATTTGGACTGAATGAAGAAAGAAAACTATGTGAATAATGTTACTTAGGAAGTTAGTTGGAACTGCATGCCTAAGACTTCTTTCCTGAAAGATATTGGCAACTTTTTCTGTCATTGCTTTCTGAATCCTGTTGGAGTTTGTTGTTTTTTTTATACCTGGGGATTCAAATCATTACCATGTCAGGCTAGCTAGTTGTGAAGTGGGGCCCTGTCACCAAACAGTAAAACTATAACTTTTTGTTATACATAAACTTAAACAAAGACAACCACCATCTCCTATCAAAACCCACCCAAAACAAGAGGCTCCTCAACTTGTCTTCTGCTAAGCAGTCCATATTTCCATAAAATGAAATATATATTGGAAAAAGCAGAGTGTGTTCTTTTAAACTTGTATGATATTTTCATTTGTATAGATGACAAAGTTGAGTCTTTCTGCAACTTTGTTATATGTTAAAAATATAATTGTTTTAGTACAGAGAGAATGAAGTCCAGCAGCTTTTCCAAAAAGTAGGATAAGAGATCTTGCCTTGGCTCAGGTATCACAGTCTTTGGTGCACCCCTGCCTTCCCAATATCCTGAAAAACAGATGGCAGCAAGTCTAACTAGGAGAGAAATGCCTGCAACTTCTTGCACAGACACAGGCTGAAAAAAGCCACTTGAGTTTCTGCTGAGCTGTTTTGGATTCACAAAAAGTCATGCTTGGTATATAGACAGTCTCTTCCAAAAATTGCATAAATAATTCTTGCTTATGACTGCATTCTTTATAAGACATTAAGTTGTGTGAAACATGGCCTTTTTATATTATAATGTTAGCATTTATGAATTGACATGAAGAAAAATTAAACCAAATGGTGTATTTTATACATTCCAAAGTCTCACATTAATTGTTTTGCTGTTTTGGCTTTATAAGGAAATGTCAGCTAGCAGGTGTAGGATGACCTCTGTCAACTGACATTTACTTATAAATCCATTAAACAATGGTATGATGAAAAATTACACACAAAACAAAAAAAACCATTATAAACATATATAGAGATAAGGAAGAGATTAAATGATGGATTAGATCAATTTTAGGGGGTCAAATACTTTAATATTAAAAGATCTTTCCTGAATTCAGTATCTTACTAAGAAACCAGAAAAGCCAGTTTATTAATCCAAACAAAAATCGAGGCACAGAACTAATTAGTGAGCAGTACAAACAGATGAAGCTACGTTGCAAAAGTAACATTTTAAACTGCCAACTATACAACGTACTAAAAATGGCGTACATCGATAAATAGTTTCAGATAGAGCTGAAAACTAACTAGAGGGCATTTAATCTGCATTATCAACAGGATGCCTCCAGAGCTTTTTTGGTGTCAGTAATAGAGTGAGATCACTTCCCTTTGAAAGTAAGCTCCTGAGAAGTGACTTTTAAATTAAGGACCTGATTTTTTTTAACATGGTTTGTTTTCACCTATTCATAACTCTTTCCAAAGTAAAAAATACAAGAATGGCAAATACAGTTTTTCATTCTCATATTGGACCACACTTCTGGTCCAACACTGTCAACTTGTTTTTTGTTTGGAGTGGGGGGTTGTTTTTTGTTTTTCACAAAAATCTAAATACATTGTAGTTGATGGTATTATAAGAACTCTAACCTTAGAATTTCTCTTCTCTGGTTACGAATCCAAGCCATTCTGAATACTTGTCAGAAAACACAAGTTTGTAATATATTTAAAAACATAATGTGCTTAGCCACTGACAGACTAAATATTGCAGAATGTTTGGATTGAACACTTTTTCTCTGGGAATTTTCCTACCAGCAGCTTCCTCTCACTTCAAAAGGAAGGTGCACTATATAGAACAAGCAGCTGCAAGTGGCACAGGCAGACTCTGTGTGGCATAGGAAAGGGACATACAGCTAGGGTAGATACAAAATCAACTATTTAAAAAAAAATGGATTTTAATGTAAATTAGATTTTTTTTATTTAATCTTTTTTTGTTGCTTTTTTAAAAATAACAAATGTATATAAACATAGTTTTAATTTAAGAAATGATAAAGCTTAAAAGATATTGTCATGGAATAGGGGATTATAACTTCTAATTATATAGTATTTGAGACAATATATTCATGTAACCTTTTTGGAAAATGTTTTTATAAATAGGTCTCACAGGCCATGGACTATATCAGGGGCCCAATCAATCTTCTGGGGTTCCCAGAGGCTCCTTTATATGTTAGCAAGGAATAAAGAAAACCACCCTACCTAATGGGACTCAGTATTCAGTCTAGAAGAGTGATCTTCAACCTCTTTTTAAGCAGATCACCTTTTTTTAAATTAAAAAGCAACCCAAGACCTATGTTGTCATTTCTCTCTCCCTTCCCCTGCCCAGCAGGTCAGTCTGAGGACAGAACAGGGCACAGATCGAGGTGGAGGGAGAAAAAATTATTTGGGGGTGCGCTTCCCCAGCAGGTAAGTATCTGTGCAGGGAGGGACAGGGAGAAGTTAAATGAATAAAGGATGTCAAACAACAAGAATGAACTTTGTGGAAAACTGATTAAATGGAGGCTTCCTGGCCAGTGATTTTTAAATTATGATTTAAAATTGATTTTATTTAAATCAAATCCACCCTGCAGACAGCACAGTGGCAGATGGGGCAGAAAGCAGTAGCAAATGGGACTAGGAACACAAAAATAAGGAAAGCATCAGGTTGGGTAGGGGAAGTGACACTTGAGGAACATGCAGGGCTAATTTGTGGCACACCTGTCATAAAGGCTGGCCGTGGATGAACTAGAATTTCATGCCAACAATATTGGATAGGGAGAGGTAGGTAGGTCATTAACCATTTGGCTCTTGAAGTTTCCAGGAAATGATGGAAGCATAGGTTTTAATCTTAAGCCACTTTCTTCTGATACACCCACTATATAATTCATGCTATAAACTTTGTAAGCATTGTAATGATTAACATGCAGTGAAAGCAGTAGAGTAATATTTGTGTACACATAGGCCAGGGGCAGGCAAAATATGGCCCATGGGCTGGTTCTGGCCCACCAGGCTATTATATCCAGCCTTTGGGGCCCCTAAAAAATTTAGAACATTAATATTTATGTGCCTCTGGCTGTCTATCAAAAATGACAGGAGCCAGAGGCAGTAGGACCCAGGGGAAACCAGTAGCAGAACTAAACAGTCTCAGCCCGGCCTCTGCCTAGCAGGGGTTTCTGGCCTGGGGCTGCTCCTGCCTCCCTGTGCTGGAGGGAAATACAGATAAGGAGGAGGGGGGAGGGAGGCAGGGGAGGACCGTGGGTCATCTCCCAAGTCCTCAAGGCTGGCTAGGCTGGCTCCTGCAGTCCCGGTGCTGCAGCTGGGATCCATGTGTTGCCGGAGGGGTGGGCAAGCAGGTGTGTGGGGGGGAGGAAGCAGGATAATGGCAGCAGCAGAAGTGGGAGAGTGGGGAAATGGCGGCAGCAGCAGCAGATTGGGGGAGGGAGGGGGAAGGGGCAGCAAGCAGGTTCACAGAATGCAGCGACACCTGGGCAGGACAGCAGGGCCAGCACTGGCAGGGCCCAGATTAGGGTGGCAGGAGTGTGGGAACTGGGCTGCGCTGCTCAAGCAGGGAGAGGAGGGACCCAACCCAGCTCCATAGAGCCCCTGGCAGCCTGGGCCTCACACTACTGCCACCCTGCTCTGGGCCCCACCAGTGCTGGCCCCAGGGCACCGGCCTAAGCCCTGTGCTCCTGCCCAGCTGTCGTTGTGCTCTGTGCTCCTGCTCACTGGCCCTTCCTCCTGCCTGCCACAGCCATTCTGTGTGTCGTCGTCTTTGGGACTGCAGGAGCAGCTGGGACATGCCCAGGAAACGACAGGAGAAGGGAAGCAGTGGTAGACGAGGGGGCAACTGGCAGCGAGCAGGAGCATGGGGCTCGTGCTGGTGCTCTAGGGCCAAGAGCAGCAGGAGTGCAGAGCCTGAGCTTGCAAGAGCCCTGGTGGCAGCACTGCTCTGCCTGCCACAGGGAGGGGGAGAGGGGAGGCAGGCTGTGGACAAACCCTCCCCCTCCATGCAAGCCACAACCTTCCCCCCCACACACTCGGAGCCCTCCCCCCAAAACCCATACCCATCCACACCTATCCATCCCCCCCACAAATCTCACTTGCACACTCACTACAAGAGTAAGATTTCATTTTAAGCTATTGTACTATCACCTCTGTATACATTACACAAAATGCATGTAAATCAGGACACAATATTTTTTTGAAATTAATGACTTGTAAAATGTTTGATTTTTTTTTTTTTAATATATATTTTTTTTTAAGAATATAATTTGGTATTCTTCCATCTTAGAGATGGCAAAACCCCTTGCTGAAACGCATACTTCTGGGGGGCAAGGGGAGGGACATCTGTTGACAAAGGTCAGGGGTTAGGGGGCTGGGACTTTTGGTTCCAAGATGGCAACCAGGGGGTGGGCCACCTGTCAAGGGACGGGGCTACCCATGCAGCCCTCAGTGGCTTTCCACACCCTGGTAAGCGGCCTTCCGCCCAAAATAGTTGCCCGCCCCTGACATAGGCACTGACTTTAACTTATTTTAGTATAGCAAGGCCCTTATTTGTATTGTTAACTCGAAGTTTTAATTTGTTTTCTTTTTTGAAATAACTTAATTTCTATTTAGAATGTTTTAATTGCTTTTTTCACTCCTGTTTCTGTTGTTGTTTTTCTCCTTGACTCAGAATGAGACAATAGGAAGATAAAGGGAGTTCAATCCAGAGTCAACTGAACTCCCTTTGAAGTTGATGGGAATCTTCATATAGACTTTAATATAAAGCCTGGTACCTTATATCTGTAACTGGATCTGTAGTTTGCACTGTAGCTGTTTGAACAGACAATTTTCATGGCAATGTATCCACTTATATTGAGTTCTTCAGAATGTAGCTTGTTGATATTTCACAAACAATAATATGAGTAGGAGATCAGTTTTAAGGATAGCAGGCATTCATACATTTTTTGGGTAATTTTTGGGAGGAGTTAAGGACTGGCCACTCTCACAACATTATTGGGACTCTGTCACCATTTCTAGTATCTTTATTAAAGCCCAAGCTCCTGGGAGTGTGCACCTGGGAACATAAGTATCTAATTTCTTTTTTTATTAAAAAAAAAAAAAGGTTAATAGCTTTCATAGTTGCAACAAGAAATTTTAGCATGTGAGCCTTAGAAGCTGAAAAACCAATAATCAACCCAAAAACAATCACTCCTGAACTTGGTTTAAAAATCTTGAGAATTTTATAATGTCATTATTTTTTGCAGAGCTTGATTTGTGATTGTTGGACAGCCTGGAGTTGGTAATACTTTTAAATCTGAACAGTATTTTGAACTTGGTGCACAGTATTAATGGGGCATAGACCCAAAGTTTTCTCAATTATCTTGATCCTTTAATTCTAGTTATAAAACAGTAGTATTCTAGAATGACCTTGGATCAAATGCATCCTCTAAGTCCTGTGATATAATAAATAGTGTGATTCCAAAATAATTTGATAAATGTTAGCAATTCTTGTAGCACACTTCTATAATATTATTTTGATAAGGGAAATAACATATTTCCAAAGAATAAAAGTATAAAGCTGTCTGAGCGCAGAAATGCTCTTTCATAATTTCTAACTTTTTACCAAATAAAAAACCCCCAAAAAACCCTTACTTTTGAATATTAAGAAACAGTGTCTCTGAGTGCTTGCACATGAATACAGAAAGCTGGGAGGTGGCTTGTATAAACAAGGTGGGGACAACTTGAGGCTAAAGTGAGTCTGTACGTTGTAGTAGCAGTTTTCTGACAGTTTTCACTCTGGTTTGTGGGAGCAGAATTAGGCAGTTGAGATAAACTAGATCTGCTCTGCTCATGTATCAGTTTGATCAGTGGGAAGGTCAGAAGAAGAAAATATAAAAAGTGAATGACTGAGGTGGAACTGTTGTGAGTAACTGCATAAAATTTGTTTTTGTTGTCCATTGCTTTTTCGTGTGTAAATGAGCACAGTGGGATTCCACTATGCTAAACTGCTAAAAGTGTGTGTGTGGAGGGAGGAGGGAACAAGAAATAGAAAAAAAGACAATTTGCTTGTGACTTCTTTATGAAGAAAGAAGAGGAATGGAAAGAAAAATTCCAGTGTTATAGTGTGAAAGCTCCTACCCAATAAATCTATTCCTAAAACTGTATTAAAAACTAGCACATAATGAACAAGCAAGCTTGAATAAGCAACCACATCAGTCAGATGAGCTCTTCTAATCACTGCCAGATCATTCAGCTTGTCTGTGGCTCTCTCCAGTTCATTCTTGCTATTGGTCAGAGATCTGGAATCTTATCTTCTCAATCAGGAAGCTTATGCATTTTGGAAAAGTTTTCCCTTTTGAAGAGCAAAAATAGCACTGTGCTGTTAGTGGCAGTCTCTTTGTATACTTTAAGCATTCTGTCCCTTTTGGGAGACCATGATGATAAAGCTGCCCAGATTTTTCCCAGAATGCACTGAAAAAGTAAATGCAGTTGTGGTGTGCCCATACATAATCCACATAAATTGCATAAATACAATTCCACCTGTATTGTACATAAGACTTCAGGGTAGAAAATTGTTTGAGGGAGTGATCCAAAACTCCTTTAACCTTGAGTGAGAGGGAAACTGGTATGTGTTGTTTTTATGCAAATCTGCTACTTTATGTTAAAAAAACAGATGGCAACAATATGGTGATACTTAAATTTATAAAGGTAAAAGGTGAGAGAGTGCCTTACTCTGTATTTGAAAAAAATAATTTTCTAACAGAGTGGTCATTTTCAGGTATTGAGACTTTTTCCTGTTATTTTCATAAAGGGATGCTGTTAAATTTGGTATAAATTAACCTGCTCCTTGTGATTGTCCGGTGGTTTTGAGGTCTTTTTTAGACTTGAGGAACCCTTGGATAGACTTGCAGCATCCCTTGGAAAATGCCATCTTTTAGTTTTCACTCTTTCTGTAGTAAAAAATTATAATAATGAAGCAATTGTGTTGCAGAGAACTCGGAAAGGTCACAATGATGGATTTCTACTTGGAATCTGTGAACTTATCCTGTGAATTAGGTTTGCAAACCTAACAGTGCCACAGCACCCTGGTTGAGAATCACCAATCTAGTCCTATGTCCTGATTTAACATGGGCAATTGGAATTTACTGAATAGGTCTTTAATGCAGATCTCTTATTAAAACCTCCAATCTTGATTTTAAAATTGCCAGTGATTGAGAATCTACCATATCCTGTGCTCAATTGTTCTGATGGCTAATTACTTTAACTTAAATATATCTCGCCTGCATTTGTCTAGCTCAGTGATTCTTAACTGGCGTTTGATGGGTACCGTGGGGTGACCTGAACCCCTTGTAGGAGTGCTGTGGCATGGGTGCCACTGCTGCAGTGGGTAGGTGGAGTTTCCCAGGCACACCTCTGTTTCTGGGAGGAGCATTGGCATGAAGACTGGGCCAGAAAGGGCTGTAACAAAAGTAGGTGCTTCTGCATGCTTTAGGCTTATCTTATTGTGCATGAGGCACATAGTGCACTTCTACTTGGCTGTGATATTGATGGCAGCAGCAACTCAGTGGAACAACCACTGAGGTAAGCTGAGGCAACACGACAGTGATTCTCAACCAAGGTGCTACCAAATTTTAATGTTATTCAGGGTGCCCTGAAACTACAAAGGTTGAGAACCAATAGCTAATGATCAACATCCAGCTATAAGAACTTGTTTACCTTTTTGCTCAGTTGAATAAACTAATCAGCAAAGTGTTGTGTCTTGCTTTAATCAAGTTTTCCTTTTAATGCTGTTTTTATAAACAAAATAAAATGGAGTTCTAGGAGTGTCTCCCTTTTTAAGGCATGTTTTCCTATCTTTTAATCACTTTAATGGTTCTCCTGTGAAAGGTCTCCAGTTATTGACCCCTCTTACCAAAGTCTGTCCTGGCTTTGTTGTAGATCTGAAGGAGAGGAGCAGAATGATTGATTTATGTGGAGAGGCACAAGAGTCATGTCTGGGTTCATTAAAAGGCTTCTTTGGCCCCGTTGCTTAATTTCTGTATTTGAGAAGAAAAATTAGAAAAGTAAAATTTTCTTAACTTGTAGAGGTGTTTTAAAGATAAAGCCAATTTAAGTTTTGTGAAGAACTACATAAATACATGGACAATGTGAAATTTAACCTATTGTTAACTGTCCTATTTTTTTCTGGGTGTTGAATTCAAAAGAATTTTTTTTAACTTACCATCTTCAAAACACAATCTCTCCTCAGACTCTATGACCCTTGCTTTTTAGTGAGTGAAAAAGCTTCTGGATTGAAAATGGTTGCAATATAAGGCCATTCGTTCTGAAAGTGTGGCATACATTCCAATTACAACTATAACTTGTCTCTCTCTACACAGTTTGAAACCTTCATGCTATTGGATGGCTTGACAGCATATCCTTTTGAAATTCCACTCTGCAGAGCTTAGTCAGTGTTGGCACGTTAACTTGTGACTCACTGAGACATTCCCATACAATACTGCTTTCTTTCCTCACTCGTTCTAGAATTAAAGGCTAAAAATGTAGGACCTGCAGAAATAGGGAAACACTGATCTGTTTAAACAGTTACTGACCAATCAACGCACAAAAGCATTAGACAAGAGATTACCCTGAGCTGCATGTTTTTTAAAGGAAACGGAACTTTTTTAAACAGACTTGAGATGTGTGACTCTTGAAGACCAAATCTAGTTCGGTTATGTAGTTCATCCTTACCTTACACCGTCATCATTTTTAATTGGAAAAAGGAAGTGAAGAAAAATCTTTAGGCCGTACCATTTTAGTAGTTACAATGCTAAGTTTATAGCTAAGAGGGAACAGTATATAAAACCATTCCTTTTCATTTTTAAAGAGGAATAGGTATTGCTCTTTCTAATGTTACAAACAGTAATTGACTTGTAATGGTGATCTGCCAGTTTAAAAGGTTATTAAAATTCTACCTCTTCCCTGGTCAAGCTTTTCTTTTACTTCCCCTCCTACCACCCTCTTTCCCCATCCACTTTGCTCCATCATTTGTTCCTGCCCTTGCCTGCCAAGTTGTCTCATGATCACCTCCCCAGTTTCTTTTGCATAGCACTCACTTCCACCCTCATATTACCAAATTGTTAAGTACCACAATGTCGAATATTTTTAAAGGCAGTAAGCACAGATTTGAGGATTTGGAGAAACACTGTAGCAGTAAACAGCCTACCTAAATCCCCTTCTTTGAGTCAACTGCTGATTAGCAAATGTGCTAAGACACTGGGACTGTTACTCCTACTCATAAACATTACCAAAGGATGACTAATGACCTCAGATGTTTAAGATTTCATGTTTATCAGCTATATCATCCAAACGATACCACTCCCAGTGAGCTAGCCTGAGTATTGCTTCAGTATTCAGTTGGAGGTGAGAGAGCTACTAACTAAAACACGAACAGACCTTTCTGCAGCATCAGGATTTTCTGTAGAAGCCTCAACTCCAAGTACTGACCAGATCTCATGTTAAATTGGAGTTGATGGGGTCACATTCCAAGTCTAAAGGTGTTTCTGATACTTGAAAGAGAATACTATTTTGTGCAGTTGTTAAGATCAGCATTTCTTATTGTAGAGCAGGGGTGCTCAGTTCCTGTCCTATGAGCCAGGTCTGGCCCCTGACAGGTCATCTGGCCTGTGGGTCCCTCCCACAGATTAAAAAATTTGGCGGTGGGGGTGGGAGGAGTGGTGGCACCTCTGCCATGCTGCTAAGTTTCTGGACCCAGGGTGGGAACCCCACGGGCCAGAGAGCATGGTCCTGCATGTTGACTAAGGACCTGATCCTAGCAGGTGGGCAGGGTTGGGTCATTCATCCGGCTTGTGGGGCCAGATGATTTAGCACTGGGGTAGAGCAAAAATGCCTGCAGCAGTTTCTCTGAATGTAATGAATTGTTGGGGAAGGAGGAGGAGGGAATGGTTCCTGTCCTTGGGGATTTGGACCAGATAAACTTTAAGCACAAATTAGGTAGCTTAAAGCTGAGTCGCTCTGAATGACTTTTCAGTTTTGAAAACATGATTGATCCATCATAACCAGTCAGCTATAACCTGGGATAAATGAGTGATTCTTTTAAAATGACACAGTACAGGTTTTCCTCAATTTACACGGGTTTAGTTTATGCAAATTTGCTCTTATGCAATGACCCTTTTGTAACCAAAATTCATTATACGCGAGGTAAATTCGCATATATGCGATCAGCATAGGCCTGGTGAATGCCTCATAAAAATTTGCATAAAGTGAACCTATTTTATAACGTAAGAAATAGGGATAGGTTCCCCTGTCGGATGCTCCCGGGGCCGACTGGAGTGAGTGCAGACAAGTGGAGCCCTGGGCGGTGCAGGTCTGGCACTCACCCCAGCCCTGCCAGCAGCCACTGGGCTGCACCATGCCTTGAACCTGTCTGCCCCTCCCCCCCCCCCCTGCTGCCCCTGGCGTGGGAGCAGCCAATGCCAGCTCCCTGTAGCTGATGGGCTGCTCCATGCCCTGGTGCAGGCAGTTGATGCCGGCAGCTCCTAGGGCTGCTGCAGCCAGGGCTGGGGTGGAGACAGGCAGAGGGCTGGGAGGAGCCTGGAGCCCCTGAGCCTGCAGCAACTGCCAGCCCCAACCTGGTCTTGTCCGGCTGCAGGCAGCTGCCCTCCCCTGCTACAGCCCTAGGAGTGGTGGACACCGCCTGCTTGCAGCTGCTGGGCTCTGCCGCACTGGGGGAGTTGAGGCACAGTGCCCTGGGGGAAGTGGAGCCCCGGGGGGTCTGGGGCATGACGCAGCTGCCTGCAGTGGGACAAGACTAGGCTGGGGCCGGCGGCCGCTGTAGGCTTGGGCTCCAGGCTCTTCCCAGCGCTCTGCCTGTCTCCACCCCAGCCCTGGCTGCAGTAGCCCTGGGAGCTGCTAGCGCCAGCTGCCTGCACCAGGGCACCATGCAGCCTAATGGCTACAGGGAGCTGGCATTGGCCGCTCCCGGGACAGCTGCAGCAGGAGCTAGGGTGAGTGGGGACAGGCAGAACCTTGGTGAGGTTCGAGGCACAGTGCAGCCCAGTGGCTGCCGTCAGCTCCCAGGGCCACTGCAGCCAGGGCTGGGGTGAATGCTGCACTCTGCACTGCCTGGGGCTCCGCTTGTCTGCATTCACCCTAGCTGGCCCCAGGAGCAGCAGACAGGAGAACCTATTCCTATTTCTTAGGTTCGCTTTACGCTAATTTAATTTATGCGGCGTTCTCCAGGAACGCATGTACTGCATAAATTGAGAGAAACCTGCATTGTAGCTTACTCTTGTGTATCAACTGTGTTGCACAAATTGCTAGTTTCGTGCCCCTGGAGGCCTTTCCCAAACACCTCAAGGAGGGAGTCACACTCAGGCTGAGTCCATTACAAGTTTATTGATTGCGCAATCGGTCGACAGAGGGGTTGAGTAACCCAAAGCAGTGTCGACCCCCAGTCTTTGTCTGAGGGTCTTTTATAGCTTACCTAAACAAAGAGCTGTAGCGTGTCTTACAACTATTGGCAGTTTCACAATTTTACCGTTACAGCTAAGTTTCCACAGGATGTCAGGGCCTTTTAAGTTAGACTCAACTTATTATGGGATAGATGAAGGCGCATGCGTGTTGGGGAAGCCGTGGTAAACTCAATGTCCTTTAGTAACCCCTTATCTTCGTGTAATTTTAGGTCATTGAACAGGTGCGATTGTGAAACTCTATGTGTAAAGCTGTCTTTAACCTATATGGAGAAGCTGTTAGCAAGCCATGTTGAATACAGAAGCATATTGCAAAAATAAAGCATCATGTCTAATTTTAAGCCTTATGTCTAAAATCTAATGTATTTGTACTACAACTGCATTACTGCTTTTCATGTAAGGTATTCTTGGTTAGATTTTTAACAATACTCACTTTAGCTGCAGTCGGCTTATGTAACTTGGAAAAAAAATCCAAATAATACCTCAGGCCAGGTACAGAAGTTGAATTTCTTGCATGGCAGGCATGCAGAAAGTGCTCTATAGCTGTAACCAAATAGACTATCAAAACACACAGAGCAGTCTAGAAGTGGTGGATCCTGCCCCTAGATGGATGTAATATCAAACTTCAGCACAGGGAATTGTGCACAGAAAAATTCAAAATTATGCATAGTAAAATACAGACTTATGTGCAGAGTTCTGGGGGCTGCAGGTAGCCACATGGAGCCGACCCAGCCTGGCCCACTGGCATGTATCTTCAGAGCAGACCAGGCTGGCTCTGTGTCAGCACATACAGCTTGCAACGCTGCATGTGGGAGCTGTGCGTCGTCAGCCTGGGCCAGGCCAGGCCAGCTTCATGCCTCCACAAGGGGCTTCCCACTGCAGTGCTGGAAGCGTCACGTGGAGGTGCAGAGCCTGCCTGTCCCGATGGCATGCAGACCAGGAGTTGCATGTCACTGGGCCAGGTGGGATCCATGCCTCTACATGTGGCTTCCCCCATGTGTTGACACAGAGCCAGATGGTTTGGGTTGAAGGCATAGGCCAGCTCCATGCTACCATGTGCATCCCCCGGGACTCAGCCAGAGCCATGCCTCCCCAGGGGCCTTTGATTGCTGAGGCCTTGAGTACCCGTGAGGTTCTGTTACTGCTGCTACCGCCACTGGCAGCAGAGGCTGTGCACCATGGGGGAGGGGAGGCATGTGGTGGGGAGACGCTGCAATACGCATCCCCTCCTGCTGCAAGCAGGAGCTCCTTTCCCCACTCAGCTGTCTAGTAGCATACCACCATGTTTAGTACCTCCACATGGGTCTCCCAGCTGGTGTGCTGGGAGCTCTGTGGAAGTGGAGGCACAGAGCCCACCCATGTTAAATTATGCAGTTGTGTGGTTATACGTTTTATGCACAAAATTATGCAGGTACCTAACTGTGTAATTCCTCCAGGGTGTAACTAGGTTAGGGCACTGTAACAAACAAACATCTGTTTAACATCCCATAACTCATGGTAGGTTGTATTTTGCCGACATTCCATGGAACATTGCAGCACCCTGCTAACTCTCCCTCATGCGGTGGTGATCTAGGCCAGCGTTAGTCTCCTTTGCCCCAGTGTTGTGCAGGCCCCGCCCCCAAGCTGTCACTGACAAGAGTCAGCAAAGCCCATGTTTTCAGATCCCCCATACATGTGCTTTGTTCCCTTCAGCCAGTTATGAGCCAGTGTTTGGTGTTAGTGCTCAGTGTGTGAATTCCATCCACTGCGTCTGGGCATTTGTAAAGATTACAGCTTTTAAGTGCTGTGCTGTTTGCTGAACACT